CCCGTATGCGAAGTGAAGTATGAATCGGGCTTAGAAGGCTGATTCATACTTCATTTCGCGTACGGGAAAGCCATCGCACGACTGCGATGACTTTCCCGTTCGCGACATAGTTGAGCTCAAGTCAACTTTTTCGCGATGCGAAGCGTTTCCCGTATGCGAAATGAAATATGAATCAGGCTTAGAAGGCTGATTCATACTTCATTTCGCATACGGGAAAGCCATCGCACAACTGCGATGACTTTCCCGTACGCGAAATAGTTGAGCTGAGATCACACCACTATTTAGCTTACCAGTATGCACTACATTGTAAAAATGTATTGATAGCTACAGGGCATGACTAAAACCATGGCAGCTGTGATGGCCGAGTGGTTAAGGCGTTAGACTTGAAATCTAATGGGGTCTCCCCGCGCAGGTTCGAACCCTGCTCGCAGCGATTCATTTTTTTCTCGATTTTTCATTCCAGGGCCGGATGAACATTCGAAATTGAACGGTGGTAAAGCGGGATTTACAGAAGCTTTCTTTTCTCGATGCAATGCGTGATGCGACATGATCTCTGCGCCGGTGGCGCTGACGTGCGATGCAAACCCACGAAGTACGATTCACAGAAGACCTCAGCGATGCGACGTCGCTTTGCTGATTTGGCGCAAAGCTGAATGCAGGTGAGTACGTCACCATGGTATTCGCTTGGCTGGGTAAAACGATTTTACAAATCTAGAAGCAACTCTTGAACCTTTGTACAACTTTGCTGCAAAAAGGCCAAAATCGTACATCGCATTGCATGAGCCAAGCTCAACTTCTGCGACTCGTGGGCCAGTTGCGACGGTTGCATGAGCTGCATGGTGGGTGCGATTCGGGATTCCCCAGTTTTGCGGCCGGTGCATCGTGCATCGCATCGCAAAATGCTTCTGTGAATCCCGCTCAAGTTTGATACAGCAAGCAGCAATTTGGAACAGAGTCTACCTTAGTGGCAAAGCAAAATACCAAATTAAAGCTGTGTGGACCCTGGCTAGCGCCAGACGTTACTTCAGTAACGTCTTCTGCATAGCTATGGGAATAAAACGTTTAGACTTTCCGGTTTTACAGTACTCTAATTTCAGAAATTTTTTGTGCTCAATTTTTTCGGTATGAGGGCAGAAGGCCAGGTTAGGCGAACAGAAAATTTAGGTACAGACAAGCAATTCCCTATTGGATTATGTGTGTTAGTGTTTGTTCGGTGTATTGAAATTTTAGGTATGAAACAGACGCACCGAAAGTACCGAAAATAAAAGTACACCGACAATTTGTGAAATTACAGTATTCCGGAAGCCACAGAAGCTCGCGTACATTCGATAGTCAAAACAAAAGTGCCATCGTGGAGAGAAAAAAGAAACGTTCCCACGCCGGGAATCGAACCCGGGCCGCGGCGGTGAGAGCGCCGAATCCTAACCACTAGACCATATGGGAGACACTATAACTAAACAAAGCACGTCGAGCATTGTCTCAATGACAGAGGCAGTTTTGATTGGTCCAGGGCAGGGAATCGGAAGGCCATAGAACCACCCAGACACCCATAGGAATCGCTGTGGCAAGTCAAATGTTGACCACACACTTACACGAATAGTGACTGTCGAATACACACATGTGCCTGCACGCATGCTTACATGTACACCTCGCACTCCACGCAGCAACTGAGGTGCCACGGCCAAAACCATCACCACGCTGCATGACCGACTCGCTGGTCTTTCACCCAATACCGTAAAGTACCGCCAGAGCGCCCCGTCTCGCGAGAGCGCCCTACCTCTATCAGGCGCGTGCACCGTATGAGTTTTTTGGTGTCTGGAAACCACCTTTTTTTGGGCAATCTTGCCAAACGAAAAGCGTACCTACTGGATTGGTTATCCTGCAAACGCGTCGATCGACGGGCAGTTTATAGTACAGTGACTATGTCCTTATTTCGAAGTGAGAAAGAGAGTTCCTTTGCATGCAGTTCAAAATACATTATTCTCTCTTTCTTCAGTGGAGAGTAGCCACGGAGAGATCGATCTCTAGCTCTAGCTACAGAGAGATCGATCTTTAGCTCTGGTCCGCTCCTGGATTGGCGATGACGTTGAAGAAATCCGTTTTGTCTCGAAATTTGAGTCAAGCACGCGCGATGCAAGGATATGATTGACGATATCTCCTTCCAAATTGTTGACTCAAATCAAGATCTCCACAACCTTTCGTTCTCGCTCATGTGCACAGGAGAGACGTTCGTCAAAAACGTTGTCGACTGGAAGACGTCAAAATGTGCGTCCATGATCCACTTGCGCTGCTTCAGAACGAAGGACTGCTCCGGCCACGACTGAAGGACGCTTTTCTTCCGCGAGTTTCCATCGAAGCAAGGTCCATATCTCCTTATTGATGTCGCGTCCCTGGCTCAGAGTGACCGGACCCCGAAATCACTACGAGCGGCGACTGAATATAGACGTGTGGCCTCACGACAAGCCCAACACAACCCAGGGGCCAACCAATATAGCTGGCTTGGTCCAAGTTCAACCCCACACGATCAACAGACAGAGACTGTTAGTTTTACGTTGTGAGTAGTATCAAATCCGAGCTCAAAGTAAACGAAGACAGAGAGCTGAGACCGAGTCTCGACTGCTAGACTAGACTAGACTAGACTAGACTAGAACTGAACTAAAACTGAAGTAAAAGAGAGAATGAGAGCTTCTTTTATAGGGTGCTTCAGAGATATATGGCGTGATCATTGCGAGGTAATTCCAGGAAATAGCAGAACAAGTCAAACCGGAATGTGCGCAGCCAGTCAGCAGAAATGCAGAATATACGTACGGTGATCATTGGAGAAGAAAGAGAAAGAAAGACATCGAGAGAAGAAAGACCAAATTGGGACGTGGGGAGCCCGCTCACCCAACGTCAGAGTACAATGTGAGTATATGAGGGTCACGTTGGGGAGCCCGCTCACCCAACGTGCCATAGTTCAGCGGCTTCTTATGGTAAGTTCTGCTGCATTCTTGGTCTTGCTTGCGTGATACTCTGACCTCTTGCGCGGTGACGGTTTTGGTTCTTGCACACGTCTCCTGTCTTGCACTTAGCTCTTGTTATACAATGTCATATTAATTATTAGTCTTGGCTCTTTGCACGAAGCACCGAGGCATCGTGGAAACCTGTAGAACGTCGTAGTGACGTGGTTTTGCACAAAGCCTGGAGTCACATTTCCAGGAAGTGAAGAACTTCCAGGAAACGTACAACGCGAGAACCTACCTGACCAGGTTCGGGCCTTGGATCACATGACGTGTCATGCCAAGAAGGCATGTCACCTACGTGGGAAAGCGCATGTCGCTCAACCTACATGCTAAGCACGTGGGACAAGACACTGGCCAAACCATGTTGTACTAAAAGGGCGTGACAGCTCAGCACAGAGCTGCTCACTATGTAGATCCTGCTATCACAGGACTATCAGGCAGCAGTTGTCTTATTCTGGGACGTGACATTTCCCCCGCCGTTGAAGAATCACGTCCCCGTGACTATCCTCGACCGATATGGTAGTCGGTGAGATACCGCGACGTTGCCAGTGTCATCCACCAGGCTCCGCGACGGATACAATAGGTAAGTCAACTGGAGATGCAGGATGCAAGTCCAATCCACCACAGGTTTTGGTGCGAACACCATGTCATCAGCCGAATACAGCAAGCATATCACTCGTATCGGGCTCATACGACTGAACAATATCACTGACTGCTCACGAGAAAATACAATTCCTCGCCAGGTGTCAGGCACATAAAGCATTCACTCAATCCGATGGTGCTACACAGTTGTGACACAAGATCGGTAAAGAGCTCGTAATAAAATCCATCCGGTAACGAGCAAATTGGGACCTCACTCGCAACAACTCATCATCCCCAGATGAGTTTCGCCTACCAGGCTCCTCGACACAGGGCGTCCCCTGGTCAGCCAACACTGTGCTCGAGGGATCCAGATCCAAATCATCCTCTCCCACCACAGCCTTTCCACTTCAGTTCTAGGACCTCGTCCTATATGAAGCGCAGACCATACTTCTTCGGCCCCAGGAATCCCATCCTGGCCTGTATGGTCACCACCGTCCCCTTCTCCGTAACGCGTTGCTCACTACGCAAGCTCATCACCACCAACCGAAATTGGCTACAACTGACCGATCCGGGCGCCTCATCCACAGAGACCAACTGACTCCTCTGAGCCGTACACAACCCG